TGCAAGGTCCTGAACCAGTTGCTCAGGACCGGCAATTCGGCAGTGGCAGCTGTCAACAAGGCGAGCATCTTCCGGCAGGGCTTGGCAGCAGAGGAGTATGGCAACAATGTGTCGCCCTTGCACATTCTGTACTATGATTGGTCAGGAGCAGGCCGACAGCATGTGGAGAGCCCGGTGTTCGTGGATACGCTTCTCTTCCGGTGCTCCTGCTACATCCGCATGCTGGAGCAAGCCCAGGCGAAGATCAACAAAGCAACGAACGGCCTGCACCTGGCTGCTGCTGATGGCTGGAATCGCGACTTGAATGCGTCCAGCCGCTTCGAGGACTGCATGAATACCGCGAAGACCGAGCTGACCAACACGGATGGGGTGGCTGTGGAAGGTGCACTTTCCGGCCTCGCAGAGGCCATGGTTTAACGATGATGTCTTGGGCTCATGATTTGATTCTGATAGAGAGTCTGTGACTGCAAAAGTTGAAGTAGCTGCCGAGCTGATCAGATTGCCTTCCTGTTTATCGGGCAAACTTCTGTGTAGAATAGAAGTCTGTGAAATAGACCAGTAAGTAAGTTTAAACATGACCATCGCTTGAGTTTCTCCCACTGAAAACCTTGCAGAAGAGTTACTCCACAGCTGTTGCCCCGAGCTTGTGTATAGAGTATAGAGTCTGAATGAGTTTATATCGAGTTTAAGGTCCAGGCCCTGGAGTGTTGCATGGCAGGTGATCAAAGCTGCCAAGGGCTTCCGGAACAAGATCAAGGACTGTGACTGCAAGATACACGACCTGTTCGTGAACCACCTGCCGATGTCTTTCAAGAGCCTCGAGAGTGGCAAAGCCTTCAAGGCTGAAGTGCTGCTCGTGCTCGCAATCCAGCAGGTGCAGCTTGAGGATCCGGCGACCCAGAAATGGGCGCGCGATGTGATCCGTGCGCAGTTGGGGGATATCGCAGGCAATGTCGTCAATGAAGAGAGCATTCTTCCACAGATTTTGGAGAAGGCAAGGCAAATCATCGGCTGAATCCAGTGATCCAGTGAGCTTTGTGATTTGATCCGGAAGGTTCAGACTGCACCAGTAACGAGAATATGAGTATGACAGTGACTATGAGTTATGTACTTATGCAGAGTTTCGTTGATTTCCATGAGCAAAGCTGGACTCACCCGTGCCGATTCATTGATGTGGCTGATGCTGGCCGGTTTTCGGATTGAAACCTGAAGTTTGGAGCCTAATGGCGGAGTTGTCCCAAACCAAGATGTAACCTGTTGACACCCTCGTGAAATGTGTGAGCTGTGGGCCATGCTGTCAGCTGACTGACAGAGTCATGACTTCACGTGTCATCATGGAGTGTCATGAGGGCATT